TTTCTGTATATGTTTTGCCTGGGTTCATGCTTTATTATGCTAATAAAGGTGAAGTGATACCATAAAACATTCCCATATAGTGACACAGATTTCAGTCTCCACAATGAGATGAATAGTCGCCCACTATCACAGACTTTCTAGAGTTATTCTATAACTTTCACTTCAAACTGCCTCCGTTTCCATGGTGACACCTGTGATTCTGGTGATGTATATAATAATCGGGAGTCAGGGCAAGGCTGAATCACTCGGAGCACTATAGAAACTGGTGTCTGGTAGAGATCACTGCAGAGAGAAGAAACATGAGGAAAGGATACTGAAAGCTGCACTATGTAACTTTTCTGGTGGAGGATTTGCCACTTCCCCTGTCTCCATGGAGATGTTATTGTTTGACCTGTAATGTGTAACAGTTAAACCTATGACCAAGTCAGATTTGTAGAGATGTGACCCTGATTTGTATATGAATGAATGTCAAGGTATTTTACTCAATAAAAACACCTCTCAAGGCAAGATGCATAAATTTAATGCCACACTGTCAAACATCCCAGATCATCTCCATGGAGACAAGCAAGTGCTGGATCCTCCATCAGAAACTTTACAGCTGTCATTACTTATAGTTACTACTTTATTTAAATATTTACTGTGTCATTTTTTCTGGTTAGTTAGTTACTGCTTTGCCTGGAATGTTCCACAGTATGGAATTAAATGCTTTATTCAAGTACAGATGTTTTCATTGCTAACAAAAAAAAAAAAAAAAAAATTGTCACTTTCACTTTTAAAATGGATTTAATTCAAAATATATGAATTAAATCCTGCTCTGTGCACTTTTACATATTTGTTATATTCTTTAAATACCTTAGTTTTTGGCATTTATAATTTTACCTAAAAAAAGTGAAGTTAATTTAACTGAGCATAAAAACAGCACAAAACAGATAACTTCATCTTTTTGTATGAGCAATTCGATCTCTGAAATGATCAGGATTATTCAATAGACATCTCCAGATACATTTTTGATGAGTAAAAATTAACACAACTGAAAGCTTGAAAACGTTGATTTTGGAATACATGCCTTTTTTATTTCAATCATTTTAAATCTGTATTAAGTAATTTTTGTGTAGGAATGCCTGCTTTATTTATTGTTTAAAAAAAAAAAAAAAAAAAAAACTCCACATATACATACTTCTAATACGTTCCTATTTTTTAATATATAGGAATGCCTTTTTTCCACTTTGTTTTACACCAATATTCCCCGTACCCATAAGGTTACAGCTAGCCCTGTGCATTCCTTGTGATATTTCTCAAAAACGCGTTGCTTTTTAATCACATCTATAACATTTCCTGTACATTCCTGCGCTTTTTTTAACATAGCATCTTTTGTGTGACAGTCTCCATACAAGCAGTCCCTCCCCCACTCTCTCTCTCCCTGAATCTGTTTGATTGCGTCTCATTTTAGTTGTTAAAAAGGCCTATGGTTCAGGTTCAAAGCAGTGCGAGTTGGTTGGAGGATGGGAGGAAGGGGGAGGGACAAAAATGTGAAATGATGGGGGAGGAAGAGGAGGAAGAAGAGGAGGAGGGGGGAGGCATGTTTTTAGCTTTAGTTTAATCTGGGCTATACACACACATATTACATGGGCCAGTAGACAGAGCGGTCAGAGCCTTAAGGAAGCCTCTGTGTAAGACATATAGATATGACTATAACATTATATTTATTGGATTACATGGGAGAGGGTGAGAAAATGAATTAGCAGCTTTCATTTGAGCTAATTCTGGGTTATTGAACCATAAATATTGCCTACATAATTTGGGGTTTATAGATAATTTTGTGTCTAGAAATATTTTGTAGGTTTTCACCAGAATGGGCAAAAACAAGACAAAGTTAAAAAAATAAAATAAAAATCCTATTTAAAAATATGCCACCTTTAGATTCAATAATTTTATGGTAATCCAAACCAAAGAATCTTGATTTTTAAGATCCATTTAAAGGTATACTGCGTAACATTTCTAGGGGAGGGTCCACTACCTGGTTGTCTCCGTGGAGATGCTATTGCCTTGTCTAGAATGTTCCACAGCACAGATTAAACCTATTTATCACTAGGGAGACAAGCAGGTTACAGCACTACGCTACATTACAATTCAGATCTGTGTGGAGAGTTGCCGTATTCACAGAAGGAATATTGTATTTTTAAGCAAAAGAAACACTTGTAATGAATAAATGCTAGACGGATATGTTTATTTCATACCATGGAACCATTCCAGGCAAAGCAATAACATCTCCATGGAGACAAGCAGGTGGCGGACCCTCCACTAGAAAAGTTGCGCAGTGCACCTTTGAAAAAGGGCTGGAAAAAGGGCTGTGTTGCTGAAAACTGTATTTTACTGTGAACAAATAAAAACATAATAGATGAGCCATGGCAAAAGGTTTAGATAATAGAAAGCAATGGATGAATCAATGATTAAATTTGCAACTTTGATTTGATTTGAACAAGCTCCCCACAGATACAGATACTTTGAAATCTGGTAAAAGACATAATATATATAAACAAGACACAGTTGTTGTTATTGTGTTGGCCATTTTAAATATTCATACCTTTCTATAATAAGCAAAGGCAAGACATAGCACCTAACAGACACAGAGTCTATAGGGCTAAAAGTGAGAGGAGACTACCATTACATTATATTACATTATATTGGATTACATAGGAGAGGAGGAATGAATTTGTGGATTTTATTTAAGCCAGTTTCAGGATATGATGATCACTATTGTCCTTATACAAAGTGGTAGAAAGCTAAGTGGACAAGATTTGCCTTTGGAGAAAATTGCTTAATCTCATAATTACATTGGAATATATTGCTCAAACGCCTAAAGACACGTCAGGTTTAATTGTCTGAGATTATAACAAAGGAGGAGTGGGTTAATAAGATTCTTGCAAAAGACATGGCTATATCAGGGTATATTTGACGGTATTTTACAGAATAGATATCAAAAATATCAACTGTGATTATCCATATATGCTCATTCAACAGTGAGGAACAAAATGGCTGAATGCTGCAGGAAGATGTTGGCTTGTCAACATGCATGTTAATCAAATCAATCTTATTACAGGTGTTTTTATCCCATGAAAAATATCTTTAAAAATTTATACTGTCAGCAGGCTCATCTCTGCAGATCTGACGAGTAACTTGGGCGGGTGGCATGTCCTGTTCGTCTGCATTGAGATAGATAAATGTAATGCCATACTCTTGAACAGCTTAAGCAAAACAATAACATCTCCATAACAGACCCACAACAGAAAATAATACAACTTATTGAATTATTGTTATATTATTATTAATTTTGTTTTTAATTTATTGTATTATATTTAATTGTATTGATTTATGTAATTTTCTGTTGTCCCCAAAATCATTAACTTCTGTCCTGTGCTATTCTTTTTTCCCATGAGTCTCGTTGTGTCACTGAGCTGTGCCTCCTGCTCCTTTCAACACAACCCCACCGACTGCTTTATTCAGAGATCAGAGACACCAGAGGAATAAAGCGCCCCCGAGTGGACAAATAGGGAAGTGCAATGCAAACATGAGGTCCTCAAACACTTAAAGATACAGTATGTAGCATTTATAATTCAAATTTCACAGACACGATACGAGATGAGCATGTTCAGATCAAATACAGCTTCTACTGATAAGAATTGTAATGCTGACTTATTGCAAAACCACTGGACATATTGGCCAAGTTTGTGTTTACTTTTGGTGTATTTAAGACGGTTATCAGGAGAATGAGCCACACATGTCTCTCAATGTCCAAAAGTGTGGTCCACAATGCAAATACAAACAGCGAAAAGTGCATCTCTTTTGTTTTTCTGCTACTGAAGCTAACTGGTGCTAATTGGAGACTTGATTGCATAAGATTGACGAAGTGCAGTTGCTATGGACACCGTTTTAATTACAGACATAATTACGATTCTTAACTTTCCCGCTCTCAACGCTGTGTGCTACCAAGACGTTTATTTATGAAGAAACGATAAAAACACTGACCCTCTCTTCAAGCTTTGTGTAACAGAGAGTGGAATAATGTGAAAATAAATTTGTGCTGTATTCTTACAAGAGAAATTACTTTATTGTATGGTTAATTTGTGATGAGATAACCGCTGCACATGTGTCTGTAGTGCCTTAGGGTTAGGTTAACCTTATCCAGTGTAGCGTTCCAGTGTAAGGAAACACGTCAAATTCTTCTTGTTGTTTATTCGCTGAACACAAAAGCTACTGTAGGCCGTAACCCACAGCAAAAAGTTGTGGTCAAAGTTTTATCAATGATTTTACTGAGATGTTTTCAGTCGTACGCTCAGACTTCGATGGTTTAGTCATTACAGGGAATTCTAATGTACATGTGGATAATGCACAGAAAGAGCTCACTGCTGTCCTTGAAATGTTGGGTCTGACTCAAGCATGTCAGTGAGTCCACCCACAACACAGGGCACACTCTAAACCTGTGTATTACAAAGGGAGTAAATATTTCAAATGTCAGTGTGGTCGATGTCTGATATGGCTGATCATTTTTATGTCTTCTTTGAACTGTGTGGTTTTTGTTTTTTTTTGGATGAATTGTGCTATAACAAATAAACTTGCCTTGTCTTGTCTGACATTTGACCCATCCTTCTATGCAACTCGGGCAACCTGTCAGGAGCAGTGGGTACTCAGGAACCCATCTCCAAATCCTGAACTAGTCTTGGTCAGTACTGTTTTAGGATTTTTTGATGGAAAACTGGAATTCCCTGGAAAACATGCAAACATGGCAGAAAAGGCCCAGGAGTCAAACTTAGGACCTTCTTACTGTGAGGTGTGAGTGCTAGCCACTGAGCTACTGCCATCAGAATTTCACAATGAATTCACTGCTTAAGATTTTGAAACATATAAACATTAACTGAGCAATTTGGCATGCCCTACACTTGATATAGTCAAAAAACAAATCATGCCAAATATATAAAAATACTCATAAATACTCTCATGGCTACAAAAATCTTTGAGGATTTATTACATTGTAATCTGTTGAAATACAGCATATTTTCTTTTTCAATTCAATCAGTCACTGAATCATCATTTGTATTGTTAATTACAAATAATTAACAATAAGTGTGGTTTTAAAAAATGCAATAATTGACCTTGAACTAAATAATAAAGTTATATATATGCAAATTTCTCTTTAAATGCACTACCTATTTATTTATTCATTTATTTATGTATTTATTTAATAATAGCGATATCAATATATTTTCAATCTATAAGTCCAAAGAAAGTAATTTCCTCGAAGCTGACAGTTTCTTATTGATAGCTCACACTCCCCTCGTCCAATCAGTCTTTCAGTAATAAACTGGACATAATATACTAATGAAGGGAAGGCTGTCGTTTGCATATACTGTTTTCTGTCCTGTATTGAGTTCATATCCATCCATTGTCTGAGAAGTTTTTCCTGAGCTGCTGAGCCTGTGTGTCTGTGAGTGGCTGCAGAGGAGAGCGACAGGTGCCTCCATGGAAACCAAACCACTCCATTGCCGTCTTCAGACCTGGGACGCCCAGGCCACGGGTCACCTGCAGGGAGCACAAGGCAGAGGGCGGTCAGATAAATGGATTAGTCAAGATGCCTCACATTTCAGGAAATAACATCTGCTTCAGAAAAAGTTGCACTATTTTTCTGGTGGCATTAAACTTTCACGTTTCACTTTCAAGTTACAGGTCTGATCTGTGGAGAGGCGGCCCCACTCTCAGTAATAATACAAGTTTTCAAGTAATTTTTTTTTTTACCAATGAGAACATTATTAATATCCCAACCCTAACTCCCACCCCTTAATCAAGCAGTTAGACATCACATGGGCAGCAGATGTGACATAGGTTAATTGATATGGAGAGGTGATTCAATAACTTAGAAACTATAATATTAATTAATTAATATTATATAATTAATTAATTATAATTAACAAGGGCCAAAGCAGGTCTAAACTGCACAATAGTTATGATTAGACTAATAAAAATAAATAACACACCTTTACTTTGTTAAATGAAGGTTTAAACTCTGTGTCTGTCCCTGCGTTTTGGAATGAATTTTCTGTGTTGATGACATACATAGAGGTATTCATGCAGTTTTGTACTTTTCTTCAACTTTTTCCACAAACTGCCACTTAATCAATGTAAAATTATAATACATATTTACCACAGGTACCACCAAATGAACTGTTCATTAAAAATAAATAGTTATTATAAAGTGTTACCAAATAGTGTTATAAAATAATATGCATAATGAGCAGTGACTCACAGCTGTGTTTGGTTCGATGAGCCTTTGCTGCAGAGCGCGGGCCTTGTCCCATTGGCCACTCAAACACAGCTGATGCAGCTCACACACCTGAGGGCCTAGGACGTTTGCCAGAGCACAGACTCCGCCCACTGCACCTGTACACAGACGACATACAATCATGCTGTGCTCTAACTGGACAACTGGAAACAAAATGCAAGCACAACTTATGCCAAAGAACATCATCACAGAAAATGTACTTAATTTTTCTTCGTCTCAAAATCCACATTCACGCTTCTTTTTCTTGATGATTTTCAGATTCTAGAAGATGTCATACTGCCAGATGGAAGGAAAAAGCCAGTGTTCCATATTAATAATATTGTACTTTGCCATGAAATTTCCAAAAGGTGAATTCACAAATGTTGAACCTGAGAATTTCTATTTTTAAGAAGATTTTCAATATTCATTTTATCAGCCCCAATGTGTATTAAACAGTATTGGCCAAATGCACAAATGCCTTGCCAACCCATTTGAAACACCTATAATACCATGAGCGTCATATGTAATTTTAGCAAACTTCTAAATATTATATACTGGCACAGCATATATACTCAAATTAAGTACAAACTCGTAGTTCTAGAGCAGGGATACCCAAAGGTTTTTGAAGCAGAGAGCCATAGAGTCATTCACATTGGTGTAATTTACATACCTTTAATAAGGCTTGGGACAGTAGTTTTAAGTTGTTATCGCAATGTAATTTGATGCTGTTGAGGTACTAGTGGTAGGATTACTTACATTTGTAGTAAAAACATTCTGTTTATGGTCAGTTGCGCCTGAGGACTAACAAAAAAATGTCTGAGTGACAGATTTGGCCCCTGGGCCATAGTTTGAACATCCCGTTGTAGTATGTGGACAAAAACATAAAGATGCAGCTGACTTAACATCCAGACCAAATCAATCTAAAGAAAAAAAAAAACCTTGTATGTGATTTGGTGTCAGAGAGATGTCAAACTATCAGAAAAAAATAACACATCTACAGATCCATCTAGGTGTCCAATATAAGCACAGACCACCACTCGAGCACTTTCCCTCAAAGCTATGAGTTTGAATTTGATTGACAGCTCATCTTCCCACCCCCTTCAGTGTCGCTGTGGCAGCGTGGGCATTTACAGCATAAATTTGGACATCAAAATTCAATATTGTTGGTTGGCCATTTTGCATATTGAAAAGTGGTTTATTTTGATTGTAACTTTGGGATCTACTCATATTACTGACTTATAACCAATTAAATTAATTACCAAGTAAAGTAATAAAAAAAATTCAAAGGAGTAATAACATTCAAATCTATGCAATTCAATCTATTTGTCCAAACCAAATCATTTTCCTCGAAGCTGTTGGTTTTTGATTGACAGCTCAACATCCCACCCATTTAGATTCGCACTGGGAGCATGGGCAACAACTAGAGAAGCCGGTCAAAACTCTAACTGAAGAAACTAAAACTGCCTAAAAGCTATACAATCGTGGGATAATTTAAATATGCATGTAGTTTTTTTTATACATTTATGCATTTTTGAAAGTTGTTCATTTATATGGAAATAATGATTCATTCATCAAATGTTCCTAATTTACAGTGAAATGAATGAAAATGCAATGTAAAGCACCAAGAGAGCACTAGATAAATTAATTGTAGCATTGTTATTATTGAGTTTCTATGGTCTAGTATTGTAAAAAGACATATTCTCTTTTTCCAGGTATTTACTAGTACTTATAGGCTACAACGCACATATATCATCATTTTTGTTCAATGTAGTCCAATACTTAAAATGGCTTGATAATAGAAACAGAAACAGGTCAATTGACTTCCTGTTTAAAACTGTCGATAGGCCTTGGGACATTTTGGTCTTGAGAAATCCTGGAAAGACATCATGTCCCATCCCCAGCAAATGACATTTGGAATTGTCAAATTTTCAAAACTACATTTCCTTCAAATCTGTCAGTTGAGTTTTGACTGACAGCTCATTGCCCCGCCCCTTCATTGGGGGCATCTAGATCCTGAATTCGGACTTTAAAACTGCTCTTTTCGCTCGAGGTGCAGATTTCCATATCAGTCACTCATCAGTGTCTCTGCAGCTGGTTTAGATTCCTCTCACACCGTATGCAGAGATGACTCATTAGGTTTTGAGTGCCGTGTCCATGAATATTCCCAAAAGTGTTATCTAATCCAGCGTTCGCAAACGTGTACCACATGGAAATCATGAAAACGTTGCAACTTCAAAACAAGATGGATACTCAGAAGTACAGCAGCCTCTATATGGATCATGTCATGGATCTTCTCTCAGTAAAGTACATGTCATGTGCACCTTTAACTGTACACTAGGCCTACAACAATTCGTTGGAATAACCCAGACAGGTCAACTATTAAAATAATTGAAATGGTTATCTGGACTACACATACAGACTGTAAAACACATGCCAAGATTTTATTCATAAAAAAGATGTCAGTATTATTATTATTATTATTATTATTATTATTATTAATTAATATAATAATAATAATAATAATAATAATAATAATAATAATAATAATAATAATTATTATTATTATTATTATTATTAATAATAATAATAATAATACACAAAATGGATTCTTGTGAGCTTTAAGCCATGTATGTTATAATATTGTTTCCTCATCAAAAACATGGAGTTGTGTTTTATTTCATTCACACATCTCCAAAGCTCAAAATCTTCCCTCTTATAATGTCACGTTGTGGTAGTTTTCCAGCTAACAAATTCCTTTTACCTACAATTCAGTAGAGATTGGAAACTCCAGGGCTGAAATCATCTAAATGATTCTAGTGAAGGTGTATGGAGTTAAAAACATAGTGGAGGACTTTCTGTATTACCACAAGACATCACAAGGTGGAACAGTGTTCTGTTTTGTTTCATTCACATGTTTAACACACAACTTCAGGCATGTTTTTGATGAGGAAACAATATTATAACATAGATCAGAAAATAGTGTATTGTGGGTCCTTAAAACAAACAAAACAGAATTAACCATTTCTGAATGTCACAAATAATACACACGCTATAAAAATAATCGCTGACTTGTGACTACCCTGCTGTAGACTAATACCCTTTGTGTTGTACAGAACCACAGGGGACAATGTAAAGTCACAGTCCAGTTCATACCATGTTTACTTCTATTTGTTGTTACATGCACTTGGGCCATGTAAACAAAGCTACACTCCTTTTATTAACACTTCTATTGTATTTTGATTTACACAAGCAACAACCCAATATTTCTCTGACTCCTGCCCTTTTCCCGCAGTGAAAAAAACATGCTAACTGTGATTCTTACCAACACAATAGGCAGCCATGAGGAACCCAGCCGACCCTGCAAGAACCTGGAACTTCTGTGCAGATGTCTTGTGAACAATCAACGCAATTCTTGTGATCTAAAAACAGAAATGAGAAGAAAAAAAATCACACATTTTCTCTTTTCTGTCAAGTTTTTTTTAATCCCACGGGACGGCTTAGAAATGTAAACAAATCGCTCAAAACGTGATGAGAAAGGTGGGTGTTTTTCCCCCTATATTTTGAAAGTAGAAAAAAAAGACTGAAATCCCAAGTGGACTTCAAATGACTTGGGGGGTAGGTAGACTCATGAATAATTAATGCCATTTTGTTGCGTCTTTTTAAGCTGCTTTTGTCAACGTGGATGTATGAAAAAAGCCAAATACTAATCAGAAATGTTGAGAGATGTAAGGAGCTAAGAAGGAGGGAGGGAGCGGAGGAAAGCACCGGGGAGAAAAAGGGGGTATTTTTAGCGGTCGCCTGTCCATCATATGTCAGAATGGGCGTCATTTTCATCACACGGTATAGCTGTAATTGATTGGAGAGTGGTAGCTGGATATTTAGACCTGGCTCCCTGCTGTAAACGAATGGCACAGCAGGGTCTGAAAAGCCAAACAACCCTGCAGGTAATGGAGAATTATAGATAATATGGGGAGAATATAGAAATGCAGGTAGAGAGAGAGGTACAAGATTGATCGCAATCAAAACCGCAAAGGCAGCGAATTATCTGAGTATTATACTGACGTCTGCAAATAATAAAATATCCTGTCTCTGTGGGGTCTTATAAGGAATAAAATCTGCAATCCCAGTAGTTTAGAGAGCTCTACAAACATGTTGTGAAATGCATGGGATTAGTGTATTGGTTTAGCATTAGATGAGTGGGCAATGATAATATTGTGAATGTTGTTTTGAGGAAATTTTAATATTGAATATAATGTTAATACTTAATTACAAAATAAGTTAAGATACAATGTATACAAGTCTCATAATCTTTAATATAAAGCCAGGTACAGTATATAAACTGATATTTCTGCACATGAATGGGTAATTATATCAGTCCTTTCACATGTCAAGTACTTCAACCTCAACTAATACATTTTACATTTAGACACATTTTAGCCAGTTTTGTGTGGATTTATAGATTCTGATTATTACATAACATTTCAGTCTTCTCTCAAATGTTCATGCTCCTGGATGCACTGTAAGTGTGCACTGTAAATTGAATCTTTATAAAAGCAAGTTATATAATATCTATATTAATGAATTAATTAATTATAACTGGAACCCTGGAGAAGACTGACTAACCTTTAGGTTTTGATGGGATCACTACTGCCATTCACATAACTAACTTTAAATTTATTTCCTATGCAATTTCAGTTCTTATACTTTCTCCACAGATCTGACCTATTACATGCCCTGACTTGTCTACATGAAGATGAGTTTAATGCCATATTGAGAAACATTCAAAGAAAGCAAGTGGCAGACCATCCACCAAAGCAGTTACACATTTGTCAGTTCAAGTTAAGAATTTAAGTTTTTAAAATGTTTTAAAATGTGAAAAATATTTTGACAGCAACCGTGAAGTATTAAAATGGATAAATATGGCCCAATAACCAAGTCACTCATAACAAAGAAACCATGTAATCCAAAACAATTCAGTATTTTTTTACCTTATTTTTCAGGCATATTTGCTTTGACTCTAATTCATCCTAGATCAATTCTTTAACTAATTACTACACTACAACAAGCCATTAAGAAAGCTATTCTTTATTGCTCTAAATTTACACTGCTTGTCATTTTAATCATTATTTTCACAATAAAAGATCATCTTGTGTCTTATGATGCTACAAAGGCAATTGGCTCTTACTGGGAGAAGTCGTTAGTGGGCATTTTAATTACTTTCCTGAGATAATTATTTGGATATATAGAGAGTTGTCGGTGCACATCTGGATTAAAGTAGAAAAAACAACATGGGCAGAAGACAATGAAATGAAATGGTCCCTTTGGGGAATTGACACCTCATTTATAACTCTATGACAGATTTCACTTAAAGAAGAGCAGAGAATCGTACAAACCAGTGACAGGACTAAATGATGTGAATGTGGGCTAATAAGTATAAATATATTAGGTGAAGTTGACAGTAACTGAACTAGGAATACCTAGAAGTAGTTGCAAAAGTAACTACTACTACTACTACTACTTCTGCTTCTCGTGTCCGTGAGATCTTATTACTTTCCCAAGAATGTCCCACAATATGGTTTTAAACCAAATTTGGAGACAATCAACCAATGCCACCAGCCCAAGTTAAAGATCAGATCTGTGGAGAGGCGACCCTCTTCACAGCAAGAAAGCATGTTTTTCAAGATATTTTTGAGCAATAAAAGCAACAGCAATGTTAAGTTTAATGTTATACTGTAAAATATTCCAGACAAAGCAATTCCATCTCTATAAGCAGGTGGCAGATCCTTCACTAGAAAGTTACATAGTGCACATTTAAAATTCTGCTCCGTATTTTAAACTATACCTCAGTGACAATTATTACTACACATTTCTACAAGTACTAATACTACCATCATTACCACAACTACTAATGTTATTTCTTACAACTTCTACGACTGCTACTAATTCCAGTAAACATACTTGAATATTCCTTGTTAAATTTTGCCCTGTGCGGTAGTCTGAGTGGGCTGCTGCCAGACGAGAGGAGTGGTTTGAGCTCCTGTCCGAGAATGGCGTGGGCGCAGTTCAGACTTGGAGCTGTGGGCGGAGAAAAGGCCAGAGGCGCCAACTAAAGGTCATTTAAAACACGGACGAAAAAGATTATTCACCAACGCTGTGGCACTCTGACGGACAGGCGAGACCGCACCGGCATTTTAGCATCTGTCTGAGAAGAGTTTGTGAAGAAAGTTGTGATAACACATCCAGAAGCATTAAGGAGCATATTATCAAATTGAAAATCAACTACTAGAAACTTCTAAACATGTTTTCATTGTTTTCCCTTCTCATTTACCAAATCCAAAGCTAAGAGTAATTTGTACATGTTTGAGTAATCTTCCTCTGCATTCAAGGCACAATTGCTACAAAGATAACATACTTGTTCTTTTTTTTTTTTTTTTTAAATCAGTGGCTATGTTTACATTGCCAATATCTAATTATTATCTGATTTCTGTGAGTACTCAGAGGAATCATGATGAGAAAGACTAAAAATATTAAAATGATTTTTTGGCATTTACATGTAATGTTTAATAGTCTAACAACCCCAGAAATATGATAATAATTGGATTCTGAGTGAGCATATAAGTGTAGCCAGAAGCATAGAAGAATTCAGTTGCATTGTGAATCATAAAGGGGCAGATGCAAATCAGTGGTGCTGTTTTTGATTAAAGTCAGCAGACTTGTTTCTTTTCTTAGGTAGTTTTAGTTCAGCTCTCTCAATAGTAAACAGCTGTCTTGTGTGTTTGTTCCTTACGTCTCCTCCACTGTCCTTCAGCCCCACAATGTTTGGGTGCTGTGCCAGTGTGACCACGGCCTCTAAGGGGATCTCTAGTCCAGTGTTGGCTGGGACACTGTACAGAACGATAGGCACTGGGCTCTGGTCTGCCACCTAAAATAAGAGAGACAAGAAGTAAGAACTACTACAGCTAAAACTACAAGTAAACCTACTACCTAACTTAACAGTAGTAATACAGGTGACAAGGCCTTATTGCCATGGAAACGTGCAGCGCATATAAGAAAATATGCAGCTCGTCTGTCCATGCATCTCTGAGATTTCACTTTGAAGACTGTTTTATTAAGGTTTAGAAAAAACTGAATGTACACAAAATCTACATATGTTATTAGGAAAAGCACAATAGTCACTACAATATTTACAATATTATGTTGAAAATACTGCATAGGCCTATAGTGAGGAGATGGTCAGACCTGGATGAAGTGGTGGACGAGCGCGGCAGTGTCCATTTTCCCTTTATAAAAACACGGAGTCACCACCAGGAGGCAGTCTGCTCCAACAGACACCATCTTCTCAGTCAGCTGCACTGTGGCCCTAGTCGCTACAAACAAAAGACCAGAGTCACACATAAAAGTCAAGGCAAGTTTGGTTTGGTCACGATGTCAATAGTTAAATCGGGATGTTTCATCTGACAATAATTGTATTACTAAAATATCATATCATGATATCCCTATAAACAAATAGACCAGCCATTCTCAACATCATTTGAGGTTCCAAACTCCTTTATTTGCTGACAAAGTCACCGCAGCCCCACTCGCCATAGGTATATATCTAATTACTTGACATTGTATGGATAACAGAAGGACAGAGTAGCTAAAGTAGCATAATAAGGTTTGCCATTATGAACAAGACAATAGCACTGTTTTCCTTCTTATATTCTTATGTTGTGTGCAGAAAGTGTAATGTAACTTGTTTAGATCACTCCTCACAGCTGTTGTCTCTGAATAAAAAGCTGGACTCACATTCACATCCGGAACCTGCCATCAGAAGCTTGTTTTTGGGGAGGTTCTTTCGGACGACTCTCACCACCTCCACCCTCTCCTCCTCCGTCAGGTACGGGTACTCCCCATTACTGCCCTGCACCACCAGACCTGCACCAGCATACTACATATCACAACAGGGTTACACAATCAAGGATATGTCAGTGCCATTTTATTACAGATTTCCAAGGTGGGACAAAACTAACCTATATCACTTTGGACTGTCTTTCTCTTTGCAATTATCTCAGAACAAGCTCAATTATTGCGACTATTTGGTTACTACTAGTTCTAAAATATTTTGTACGTTAATAGCGTTAATATTTTTGACGAGTTGCCTATGTAATTGGCTATTGCAGCTTATAAATTCCTATTATTTTAATTTATTTTACTATTGGCAAACATTAGTATATCTCTAGTTTAAAAAAACACCCCGGTGTTTTGGTATATTTAAAGAAAGGTTAAATAATATGCATTGTCCCCAAAATAAATACACAAATTTATCGGTTCAAAAGAATCATTGCTAGATCTTAAGAGTTTTTTTCTTGACAAGGAGGAAGGTCTAAAAAAAGTATGATGCCCTGGGACAGTTGTTTCCAATGGTGCTGGTGAATCTTCTTGTTGTTCAGTAAACCAACAGTTTTGTGAAGGCCTGTGAGGTGACTGCTGTTGTGATTTTGGACTATTCATCATTTTCAGAAGGTTTTCAAAATCATAGCAATAAATACATTTAAATATATTATATCTTATATCTATATCTTATATCTATATCTTATATAGTATTTGTGCTTGGAACAAAACTGAAACTGGTCCATGAAGTGAAGTATCTGGGAGTCACACTGGACCCACAACTATCGTTCAAACAACACGTCAAAAGAACAGTGCATAAAATCATAATTTATCAAATTTTCATCATATAAGAAATAATCTAACGACAAACATGGCAATAATGTATTTAAATTCAATGATTTTGCTGCGTCTAATTGCATAACTAGTTGGACTCTGACAAGCAAAACTATGCTTAAATTAGCTGAAACTATCTATTAAAAAGCACTTAATGTATTAGACAAAAAGCCCACAAATGATCACTACTGCAGAATACTTGACAAATACAAATTCTTAAACTGGGACAACACAATCAAATATGCAGATTTAATTTTGTTATACAAGTTTTAAATCATCTTGCTCCACCTCCTCTGAATGAGTTTGTGAAAAGAAATTCAAATCTCACAAGAGCAGGCTCTAGAGGCGACTGCTCTGTGCCGTATAGGAAAAGTGTGTGGACAACTCTCCTTTGCTTATCGCGCAGGTCAAACATGGAATACAGTGCCTGTTCATATACGAGAGCTTTCAACACTGGCTGCATTTTCTAAAGCCTTAAAACAGTGGTTGTTCAATGGTCAAATATGTCACCATGTTTAACCAATTTACATTTTCTTTTATATTGAGGGGTTGTTGGTTTAACTCTTAAACTCTTGATTTTGAACTTCAAATGAACATTAATTATGTGTATAGTGAGTGTGTTGTATGTATATTGAGTGTGCTGGTGTTGTGTACTTTTGTGTGATTGTTGCTGTAGTTTTCTTTGTCCTGTAGATGATTTTACATCTACCTGCCAAGGGACTGAAGATGAAAATTAGCCATGTTGGCTATAATCTTTATATATTTACATTTTTTATGTTCATTAATATGTGCTGTCCCTTTACAAATAAATAAAATTTAAAAATAAGAAATAAATTAAACATTATATCTTTTGAATGGGTGAAAAAATCCCCAAAATGCTGCATAACGAGAAGCTGAAACCCATGAATATAAATATTCAACTCCCAACTATAACTTTTTTAACGATCAAAAACTAATATCTTCATTAGAGCTTGTAGATTTCCATTCTGATTGTGTTACGCGTCTGCTGTATTTGGCCAGTAGATGGCGCCAAACACTTAGAATTGACCGGCTGGGGTAATACACAATCTATGGGGCCAACATCTGATCATGAAACAACCTCTAGCCTAGTTCCGTTTTCGTTTAGCCTCTGTGCCATTGCAAGTTTCATTTTTTCAAAATAGCGAAACTTCAAATGTTATGCGACTTTAGCATCTCTAACCTTTGAACGGGATTTGCTGGTACTTTTGCAGGTTCTCCTCTAGTCTACGGTAGTCCACGTCCTCGCTAGCCGCGAAAGGAGTCGCTATGGGCGGGTAGATCCCGCTCAGATCCAGGCTGGAGGCGGTGGAGTGGCTCTGCGCTCGGCCCCTCCATAACGCTCCTCTGCTCAGGGCGCTCACGGCACTCCAGACCCGGGGACAGTGCATGGCGACGCGGACACGATTCAAGACAGGCCGCGGTGTGTCTGTGGGAGTGCGGCAGCTGCGGGGTTGCTGACTGACCCCAAATTTTTAGCTAAATATTCACCACGAGCGCGATTTCTATCTCAAAGTTCAACTCGGTTCAACCCACCAACAGCAGAAACCCACGTGGACCTACGTGTAATTTTTGTATGACAAAATATTATAGACTTCAAACGCAGGCTGCAAATTTAGCCTCCTGCGCATTTCCTAAACTCCGCCTACATGTAAAAGTTGCAAGACTTTGGGCAAAAAGCCAAAATTAAGTCTGTTGTAGGGAGACCAGACGTCCCTATTGACCCGGGACAGTCCCAGGTTTGAGGTCTCTGTCCCAGCATATTTGTCTCAGTTTTACGCAAGAAATGTCCCAGTTGTCCCTATTTTTGACCAAGCTGATACACCAACAGTAAAGAAGGGGATAAATTGTAATTGTTTAGGTAAAACAGAAGTCATGTTATGACTGACCCACATGTGAGACATGGTCTTTTCAGTTTTATTTATGTGAACCATTCCAACTCGGTTGTGTCCCTGTTTTGAATTTTGCTCACCCTGGTTTATAGGATATAGATGAGTAACTTAAAATAAAGCCAGGTATAGTCAAATGAATCTTTGGCAAACATTGGAAGGTTACACTTAACATTAATAGCCTATAAAGTAAACTGATCTAAATGCATAAGTAAAAGGAAAAAAAAGAGAGAATTATTATTTAGAACTAATCAAAGATAAATCCAGGCACAATTGTGAAGATAGGAATTTAATATCTTAAAGGTTACATTATAACTTCTGGTGGAGATCTGCCACCTGCTTTTCAGATATAAAAAATATTAGCTCTTAGTTATTAGATAAGTACATGATAGATCTGTTTAATACCATACATCTGAAACTTCCAGGCAAAGCAAAAATCATCTCCATGGAGGGAAGAGGCAGACCCTTCACCAGAAAAGTTAGTCTACATAGTGCTTTTATAGGCCTGAGAGTTATGGTCAGATGTAATTGATGCATAATATTCTATGCCTAATTTTGAGTTGTCCATGGGTTAAATTAAGAAAGATGATAGCTGACCGTTGCCATAGTGATTACCTATTTAAAACAAAATATTATATCTTTTGAATGGTCATTTTAAAAAGTCAGCAAAATACATATAATAAGTCAAAGTGAATACACAAAGAATACACAGTGAATTGTCTCTTTCTTTAACCACAGTTTCATATATTCATATTTTCTATCCCTCCTTGGTACTTAAGCTAGATGCACTCCCTGGGTTCACCTTTCAAGTGTGAAACAGATGCAACTCCATATGTTTTTAATCTTCTGAAGTCTCACGTGAGTCTTGAGCTCATCCAATTACCAGCACCATGTCACCTGCACACCACAGGAGAGAGTGCTTAAATACAAATACTTTTATTACGAAATGACAGGAAGAGGTAGGATACGCTACTGGATACTAAAGCAGAGCCTACTGAAACTAGATACTCATTTGAGAAAATATCAATGATGGAAAAATTACATATCTTGAAAAAAAAAGGACCTTCTTAAATTCTTGATCCATATATGAAGTATTAGACTACATGGCACAAATAAAAGACTACTTTTATTTGATGGTGAACATTACATTCTTAAAAAAAAGTGCTTTATCATCATTGTGGTGTCAAGATCAGTATTGCATTTTTCCAGTAAATTTCACTTTTAAAAACGTTTTACATTAACTGCTACCTGACTAAAACAGACAGATGTTTACCACAGATACTACCAAATAATAAATAATTAGAAAACATGAAAATCTGTCATATGCATTTCAAGTTCAATAATATGCAAAATTTACTCCAGTGTGCTTTTAGCCATGTTAGAACATTGTTACCTCATCAAAAACATACCTGGAGTTGTGTTATGTTTCATTGAGCAACCCTGGTTTATTAGTCTCTACATCTCCAGTGCTCAGCTCCACCTTGTGATGTCATGAAGCAGTAGTTCAAGTTAACAGCTCCTTTTACCTTTTGATCAGTAGAGATACAAAATTCCAGAGCTGAAATTATACAAATCACAAAGTGGTCCAGAGTTTTTTCAGTTTGAGAGAAGAACCCAGCCTAAATGTGGAAGGTCTGTGTGTTAAATATGTGTTAATGAAACAAAACACAACTCCAGGCACGTTTGTAAAGAGGAAACAACATTAAAACAAAGATCAGAAAATAGCGTGATAGAGTGATAACTTAAATCTGCACTAACTTTTTTAATGGTACGTAGAGGTGTCACTGCTTTCTCTGGACCTCCATGAAGACAAGGTCATGCCACCAGGGAAAGTTACAGGTCAGGTCTGTGGAGAGGTAACCTTATACTCGCAGTAAGATGCATGATTTTTGAGGTATTTCTGAGCAATGCAAACACCTGTAATATGCTAAACAGATGTTTAATGTTATATTGTGGAACATTTCAGCCAGCAATAACATCTCCATGGATACAAGCAGGTAGTGTACCCACAAACATAAAAGTTACACAGTGCCCCATTAAATTCGAATTGTTCATATGAGTTCACAGCTGTGCTCCCCCATCAGACAGTTGATCTTCTTCCACCATGTCTCACTCAGCCTCTTCATCTTCTCCGGGGTCTTCTTCCTCAGAGTCAGTTTGAGTGTGTCCCCCCTCCTCCTCTCCTCTTCCCCCTCTCCCCCGCAGATTGCCCCTTCCTGGAGACTGGCCAGAATCGCAGTATCGAATGTGTCCTTCAGGTCCTTCTGTGTCAAAGCGGAGCATTCACAAAACCCCACCGCCCCGATCTCCAGAGCCAGGCGCCGGCCCTCCTCACAGCCCACCGGACGCTGCTGATTTTGGGCCAGCTGGATGAGGACCTGGACGTCTTCACGGAGGTCCACCTGAGTGCCCACCAGGACCAGGGGCGAGTCAGGGCAGTGCAGCCTGATTTCGGGGAGCCACCGCTGGGTGAGATTTTGGAAGGAGCAGGGTCGGACCACGCTGTAGCACAAGAGGAAGACATCTGCGTTTTGATAGCAAAGAGGACGAAGACGCTCCAACTCATCCTGAGGGAGAGAGGAGAGGTAAATGTATTTTCAGGGGATTTCACAAAATTCTAGGTCAATAATATTGAATACAGAAGGAAGAAACTTAATTGAATGCTGTTAACATATAAGTTTTTGTGTTTTTTTTATATAGTGAGTTCTTGGGTGTAGTCACTAATAGAATTAATCAGGTTCTACATTTGTGAACTTTTTAGACATTTTAAAACACTTCTTCTAGGTCACACTGAGAGAGATTGACAGAAAGATAATTCTTTGCAGTCTCCAACCGCGCATAAGTCACACATTCACACAGTCTAGGAAGGTGAAGTGCACTGCACAACAACAGTATGCAATGCTGGTAGTGACAACACTTGTTTGCAAATGTCTTGCTACTTTGTCATTTTGATTCATATGATAGTCAGTGTTATTTTACAGTTACAGTGTTTCATTTGTTTGCACTGTACCCCAGGCAATAGTGAAAACAATCCTCATGACAAACCCTGACATGTGACGGTTGTTTTGAGCATTGTTGTATCATTTTTTTCTGTAGTATTTATTTAAAGAATGTTTTCTTTGTACTGTGTAACAAATTGCTCAAATAAAACAAAAATGAAATTAAACAGTATATATTGTTGGTCAATGTGCACTGTCCCTGTAATAAAGAAATCACTTGTGCCATTTGAAAAACATGTCAAAGGCTTTGTCTAGCAGTGAAAACACTCAAAAGCCAAATTTATTTTAGAGCATTAAAAATATTTTTCTGTCCCTTCTTGAGCAAATCCTTTCAACTATCCTGTAATAAAAGAAGATGGTATCAAAAAGAAACAACAACAAGAAATTTTTAAAACTGAGATATCTGCAAATGAACTTTAATTTTCACATATTCCTTATTCTATAATTCCATGTAACTTCTCAAAGAATAGGTTTATATTATTATCAGTGCTGTGGGTGTTGCAAACACATTCATCCCTAAGTTGGTAAAATGCACTTACGTTTATGGCTCCATCCATCAATCCCCACTTCTGTATCAGCAAAATACAAAGAAAAAAAGGGGGTGGGGTTTTATATAGACATGGTTTAATGAACTTTGTGACGTTCATGTTCTAGTGTTGAACGCACCTGTCCAGCTGTGTCACAGAGCTGCAGCCGCACTGGTTTTCCATCCACCACAACCATAACTATACAAGAGAGAATTTAGTAATTTAAGAGAAATTAGTTGCTAATTTTCAGACTGTTGTGTTTTGTGGCTACATTTTGCACTACTTAGTTTAATTCAATGCTAAACTGGTATCCCAAAAATACAGTTTATAATAAAATAAAGTGTACTCAAACTTTTCCAACTCACCTGTGAAGTTATCAAACGCGGTGGGCACGTACTCGGTCGGATATCCGTTTGTGGTGTAGCTCACGACAAGGCTCGTTTTCCCCACGGCCCCGTCTCCCACCAGCACGCAGCTCACTTTACGCTCCGCGGCGGAACCTGACCGGCGCCGGATCGCGTTCACTGAAAACTCTCTCGCCCTCAGCAACCGTGACGACATCGAGCCAGCGTCGAAATCCGGACCAAAAACCGGTTCTGAAACGCATCTTGGTTTGTTTTTATCCATGTCTTGGGGCCACATGGCTTTAACTTAAAACAGACAAGATGTTAATGGCCCAGTTTTTCAAAGTTTTGGTGCGTAATTTGTCTTCATTTTGTTCCGTGCGCTTTTTACGCACAGTCGCACATTTGGTAAACAGACGGTGCAGAGCATGTCTTGTTGTCAGTCGTGATTCGTGAGACTGTTTTTAAAACCCCCGTGTAATAGGCTTAGTGGACAGCAGGAGAAGTCAGAAAGTCTCTCACCTACTTTAGTCTTTAGTTTCTTGGATTACTGTGTTCTTCTGTCAATAAATATATTTAAATAAAAATATTAAATAATTGTTTAAAATAGTGAGTTGTTAATGGATGATTAGATATAGTGAAAGAAAGCGACAGAAACAATATTCATATGTGATGTGGAAACTTATGAAAAGGTATCATGAACTGCAGCTCTCTGGCGCCCTCTTCTGCATCTTAACTGTGCACAAGTCAAAATGATCAAGGCAGCATAAGCATTCATTGTTATGCTGTGGATGAAAAAAGAGACCAGGATTAAACACATATGTATCAAAACGGAGTGCATGATTTTAATTTAGTTTTTCAGTTCATTGTTTTCAGAATTTTTCAATCAAAAAAATGGTTCATGGTCACATTTTTATATAGTGCTTTTCCACCTTCAAGGCTCTCAAAGCACTTTACATCAAGGAACCACTCACCCATTACACACACATTCATACAACAGTGAAATGCAGGTTAAGTGTCTTGCCCAAGGACACAATGGCAGCATTCATCTGTGGGAGCACTGCCAAACTGTGTTAAGGGCTCTGTGCGGATATTGTTTTTTGATTTCTCCAGTGCCTCTAACACAATCCAACCCTTTCTGTGGGATAAAAGCTGCTCAGGGTGGCTGTCAGCTCCTACATTGTCTCCTGGATTACTGACTCCCTGCCAAACAGGCCTCAGTACGACTGGGGACCACCCTGTGGTCAGTAATGTAGGAGCACCCCAGGGTACAGTCCTGTCTCAGTTTCTGTTCATTCTGTACACCTCTGATTTCCAGTAAAGCTCTGAGTCCTGCCATCTGCAGAAGTTCTCTGATGATTCTGCAGTGGTTGGGTGTATCAGAGATGGTCAGGAGTTAGAGAACAGGACACTGATTACAAATTTTGTGAAGTGGTCCCAGGTAAACCATCTGCTCCTGAACGATGACCAGACAAAGGAACTGGTGATTGACTTCGGGAGGAAGAGGACACCAGTGGAGTCCATCACCATCTAGGACCATGAAGTGGAAATAGTGGCCTGCTACCAGTACCTCAACATCCATATGAACCACAGGCTGGACTTTAGGGACAACAGTAACAGTGTGTACAAGAAGGGCATGAGTAGACTCTACACTGGACAAACTGCTCTCCGTCATGGACACTCCTGCTCACCCACTGCACCAGACTATAGAGGGACAGAGGAGCTCATTTTCTTACAGGCTCCTACAGCTCCGCACAAACAGACACATTGCAGCATCTGTCCATTTCCTCTTCTAACACCATGGATGCTGAGGAAACATCTGACATGGTCATTTCAGTTTAGTCAACAACCAGAGGAATATATTTTAGAATGTGTGTCTTTCCTCTCTCAAAGGCATGAACTTTGAGGATTCATCTTTAAACATGGGCATCTTCAGTTCAAGTCTGCTCAACAATATGAAGGGCATTCAGAGAGAAAATGTGGGATTAAAAAAAAAGACCATATTCTGTGGTGGCGTCCATGGAGGAGGCAAACTGTTGGTTGGTTGTGAGCACAACCAAGAAAAGGAAGACTGAACTGCCATCCAGAGAGAGAGTAAAGAAGGTCTCTTGTCTGTAAAGTGGACAGCAAGCGCTTCAGGGCTAAAAGTAAGATCTATGGGACTATTTACCTGAAGGAAGGCCACGGTCAAAAGGACTTTAGCCCAGCAGTGCCACCACCAGGAGATAGAGGAGATGGAGTACTGAGTGGCTTGTGTCTCAAGAAACTGATCCTAATTCTGGACTAATCAGGAATAAAACATTCAATTTTAAAAGTCTTTGAGTGTCAGTAGTTTTATTAGTAACATGGTAATGGTTCAAATACATTCATAGGTAATGAAGGGAGAAGTAGCCATCTCAAGGGCACATCCACAGCTCAGTATTGGACACTTCTGTATTGGAATGCCCCATCTTCAGCAGAGGCAGCAGTATGATTTAGATTCTAACTATTCCTGCCTCTGTATTCAACTTTCAGCTTTATCATTGTTCCATAAAGGGACATTGACTTGCAGCAGTGTCAGACATGAAAAACAGGAAAGCAATGCTTAAGAAAATGTAGCCACATTTGACTGGAGCTCTGACTGGAGCTGTATGAGAGCATCCACCCTGGCTTTGGCTTCAGAGATAAAGGATGCCCATATGAGTCCTGACCCAGGGAATTCTCAGCCACCTAGTAATAAAACTATTATACAGGAAAATAATGAATAGAACGTAAAATAAACATGCCGGGTATTTATTGCATTTCGTTCCTGTCTGGCTGAACTTCTCTCTCTCTGCTATCCATTTTGCTCTTGACCAATACGTGCCCCCTTGGCCTTAGAAATATACGTTTTATCCAATGAAGAGAATATTTTGTGCAATTTAATAGCATTTATAATATCAAATTTGAATGGAAGTGAAGGCCTGACAGTTCCCCTCTGATTTAAAGCATAATTCCCAACAGCCCAATTTGCTGAGAAAGGAGAAGTTATTAAGTGAGAGTCTCAACAGTTCATTTTTAAAATGAGTATTTCTTTCTGCAGTTGTTTTTGCATCAACTCCTATACTGTTGTAATCTTGTGAGTACAGTTTGATCAGATACGTAGTGATACTTAATAGTTGAATGCTTTTGCCCCTTTTTAGTCGACTAATCGAGTAAATCATGAATTTCTTTCAGTGACATCAGCCCTACTCAACAAATTCAGGTCTTAACCTCCACGATTAAAATTGCATACAGGGTCAAAGAAGAGACAAAACACAGAATTGTTTTAAACCCATCTCCCAGAGGAATATATTTCTTTATTCTCAATGATAAAAACATGATTGGTTACATGAAGGAGCACAGTGAAGTGAACATGGTCAAAGTGAGGCCAGCGAGTCCTGATTTTCAATAAAGGTTTTTTTTGTAAACTCACAGAAACTAGATCCAAAATGGTAGCCGTGGGTCATACCTGGCTCACATTCACCCAAACATCAGGGAACATCGTTATAATCATTCTCTTTCCTATATTACAAGCTTTGTACAACATAAAAATAGATCAATAACTATGATTACCATATCCATAACGTAACTATACAGTATTTATTATTGCATTTTCAAATAGACGTGCTTTTTTCTTTACTCTTTATCATCTTTATCCCCCAAAGACATTAAAACAAAAGTACAGGTACCTATTGATAAGTGTTAAGGCGAGAGCCAGCAGGGGGCGCTGTGTCAATAAAACATTTTAACCTGAATGGCATTTTTAATAACATATATCATTTTAAAATAAGTATATGGTTTGTAAGAAAATAAAGAATTGTTTTCTCTCTGGCACTTTAGTGTTTTCCTGTTTTGAGCCATAGACAGACACCAGTAGAAGACAGAGTGTTTTAGTGTGTAAATTTGTTGATATTAGTGAAAAGATATGTATATTTTTTAATAGGTAGGCATATTAAATTAAGACTTTTAGTGACGACAACAAATTGGGTTTTAAGTAATTCTAAACAATTTAAAAGCATGACAAATTACTCCTTTGCATATAATTTTATTTGACACTATCTAGTTACCCTGCATAAGACCTCAACTCAAACTGGGAAATTGAAATTTATTTAAATATCATATAGTGCAATGTGTTATATGTCAAAAACTGGACATTTTTCTTAAAATTATATGAACAAATGAGTGCTTTAGAAAACTGTAGCCAAAAATAACAAACTAAATTAGATTTTTTGAGTATCATCTCAACATACAGTATAATCTAGTTTTGTATTCTTATTCCATTATCTGATTCATGACCACAGTGTTTAAAAGACTTTTAAATTGGTTTACTTTAACCATCTTATAACTGGAATGTTGCCAGTATGAAAAATATATATTGTTAAGCTCTGTATGTTTTGACTCTACCAAGTACAGGATAAGAACTCTGTAAGAGCATCTGATGTAAAAGAAATGAAGATAACAAGATTCAAATGTTAATTATTTGATTTGTAACAATAAAAAAGTATCCAATTGAGTTTGTTTTATTGTAGGTTACCTTTTTCTTGCCCTACCTAAAATGGCAGATCCTATAAAAAACGCTTCCTCTACTGTTGTTTATCTATGTTTTTTGGTTAGCAAATACCAGCTAGTCTCTTCTTGCATAGCGATGCCACATATCCATTTTCTTCTCTTTTACAATTTCAGACATTTTTTTTTTAGCTTTTATGACACAAACAAGATCCCTTTACACGTTTGCCGAATCTCTGCATCAAAAAAAAAGAAAAAAAGTAGTTAAAAGTAGTGTTTCATAAGATTTGCCCAAATTGTCCCCCCAAAATATATCCAAATTGAGTGTACTGTGGACAGAGGCATTTTATCCAGTTTTTACAATTACAGGTAGGATTCAAATTAAGATTACACGACATACAGGAACAAAGCAAGGCAAGTCCCAAAGAGTTTATACGATTAGCAAACAAAATAGAAGTGCTTCAGGGTAGGGTAGGAATATGCTGCAATTTTAGACCTGAGGAAGTCAACATTCAATTGCTAGATACCTGATTCGTAATTTAACTTTCAATATGAGTCAAAGTGGGAAAAAGGGCTGTTAATGGTAAAGGTATGTAAATGTGGTAATGATAAATGCCATAACTTGTGCTTTTGAAATTATGCAAACATGTTTTTTTTTTATGTATTGATATTTATATGATATATGATTAACTATACAAATAATTACACATAATCCACTAGTGTCCATTGAATATTTGTTTTCCATATTTGAATCACCTTCATTGCTCTATGAATGCTCGTTTTAAGAAATGACCAATTACAATTATAGTTTATTTGCAAAGTCAGTGTTGGTGCACAATCCATACATTTTAAATTCTAAGTTCATAAAAATGTTGAATATGTGTGTAATATTTAGAAAACAATTTCATTTAGCTGTTTTTAGTGAACAACACTTTCAAATTTCAGATATATGGTGAAAGTTTTGGAAGTAAACTTTGGAAATTTAACCTTTACCAGGCTTTGTCAACAACAGTTATACTACTATATTCTGTTGTTATGTTTTTGTTATGTTTTGTTGTACTTTGTTTTGTTGTCAATGAAAATGGTTATAATGGAAATATTAAAAAGTGCATGGTTGGACCTACCTCTGTCCACAGTTCAGTGAAAGTACTCAATGGATAATTCATTAAAAGTCTAGACAACATGAAAGTAAACGGCTAACACAAACTTGGCTCTGAGAACTACTGTCAGTATAATTTCAAAGTATATTTTAAAGACATCCCCAAAAGGTGCAACTCCGGTCCATGCACAGTGACTCGGTATAGCATTGAAGCTGCCGTGCAACATCGCTGCGTGATGGAAGAAAAAATAATCATCAACCCCCAAAAATAAACAAAAAATTGAAAAACAGAAGTCCCTTGGTCCAAAAAAAGAATTTAAGAGAGGCGTGGCGTCAGTGAAGACTTTATCCAAAAAATTAAAAAATCTAGTGTTTCTTTTTTCATATGTAGAAAGTGTTCTGTGTGCAACTTGATAGACTCCACCTGCCTTTGGCACATTTAAAGAGGAAATCAAATGCACCCTCGCCTGGCACTGCAGGAATGGCCATTTTAAGACAAGACATGACATAAAAACAAAACAAAAAACGTGTGGCACTGTTCTTTTAGGGAGGATTTATGCGTCCTCCCGTCAAAGAACTTCAAAATGCCAAAGTGAATGTTACTGTGAATGTGGAATGTGTGTTATTTATGTAAAGTGTGTAAAATTATAAAGGAATGCACTGGTTTTGTTGGTCCTGATATGAGGCGTTCAAGTGCTGCTGCTTCCTACTTCTCTGAGGTCAGTTCACCTGGAGCCTATCGGAGGGGCAGGGGGCGCTCCTCTCATCTGGGCTAGAGACAGAAACAGAAAAGGAAGGATTAATAAATTCAAAGCATAGTTTAGCAGTTTTGATGATCAAGATTATCATTCACAACTACATATATATGGGGAGTAGTCAAAGTGCTATGTCTTCTTTGATTCACATTGTATGAAATAAATGAAATATGAATCAGAGAGCAGCGTATGAGCAGTGAAATACAGAAAATTTGGTTATATCCATCAGTCTTAAAGTTCATAACTATGTAAACAGGCGCAGAGCAATTTCAGAAATCAATGCTTTCTATGAGGTAGTGTTGGCAATACAATAATTTAAAATAGAATTATCAAAATAATGGTAGTTTTAAGTTACCATGTGATCAAAACCATTGTAAACCTATTTTGGAAAGGTTCAATGTTGTCCATGGGTGAGATTTTGATACTACTATTTTTGATTGTTAAATACCCAAACACTACTTGATCATGAAACTAGTGTGGAAACTAGATGCTGATTTGATAAGTTTGACAAACCTACTACGTTATTTTAGTACACCAACAAGAATAATGACAGCTTCTCCTATCAACAGCAAACAATAATAATTTAATTCTGGCAAGTGTGTTGTTCAGGAGCACAGCAAAAACATGGAAACCTACAGAAAAAAAAGAACTAAAACTAAGACCAATGATTACCCAGAGAATGGTCTTAGTTTTATTTACAGGGCACAAAGCAAACACACTCACCCTTGTTGTGTTTGCTGGGGTAGACCTTGTTGAAATGCCGGTACTCCTCTGGAGGCGGAAGGTCCTCGATCGGGTGGAAGTTAAACTTGGATTCAAAATCATCTACAACAGAGTGTCAGAAGAATATAAAGTGTCAGTACTATTTTTCTCTGTATAAACAAATGTGAGTTCCATTTCTAGACAGAACAGTATAGACCGCTGATAAACCAACCCATGAAATACAATTAAATACAACACTTAAACTGTTTTTTTAATATTTAGGCCAAGACACCACTTGGTCTTCCTTCACTTTTCACTAAAATTTCAAACTCAATTTTGGTAACAGGGAAAATACTTGTTACTGATTCAATACAGCAGTGACAATTAAATAAAATAAAAGAGTAGAATGCAGCTTATGAGAATCTTAAACTCAACTAAGCTAGTGTTGACCATTCTGAAACTATTCAGGAAATGTTCAACTTGGTTGTTTTTAACAATTCTACTTCCCTTACTGACCTAGTATGGACTTGGAGAGGTTGGAGTGCCCGTTCCGGATGGGTGGGGGTGGAGGAGGGGGTCCAGCTGGTGTCCTGGAGTTCAGAGAGGAGTTGGAGGCGGAGGAGGGGGGAGGTGGAGGTTTGCCCATCCGACTGTGAGGCTCTGAGCTGTGGCCGCGATACGGGGGAGGGGGTGGGGGGGCGTCCCGAGAACCATTACGAGAGCCAGACGAAGGGGGAGCCTGGGGAGCTGAAAGCAGAGGAGAGGGTCAGACATTTAAGCAAAATTCATGGGTTTCAACTTACTGTTATATGCAACATTTTGAGGATTTTTTCCCATTCAAAGAGGTATAATATTTAGTATTAAATTATTAATTGCTAATGGCATTTTTTATTTTTCAGCATTCGGACACCCATGATTAGGTTGCGTTCACGTTCTGAATTTGATATTGTCATAATTTCAAAGAGAGGGCAGGAGCCAATATATCTCTATTGGAGATTCACTGTTTTAGGAAGAAATATCCAAACGTATGACCCCCAAATGTTAAACCGTGTAATTGTATAGTTTGCAATGCTTGCAACTGCCAACGGTCACATCTAATGGCACTACTTTCTGAAGCTATTGTGAAAATAATTTCACTTTGGTTAATTTATGCTAAGAGAAGATGCTGAACTTTATTACAGTCTTTGTTTCATGTGGACAGGCTCAGTAATTACCAAGACATTAACCATAAACCCAGGTCAACAAATCTGCAATCTGCCCAGATCTTGGTCCAGATTATACTATAATTCTGACTTGTCCTTCAGCTCAATTTTTGACTATAGCTATTTTAGAAATGCTGTGATATCACATGACCAAACCCTTCTGACCCAGGTGTTAAAACTGCTAGGGCTTGGTCGTTTAGTTTCATTAAATCCCAACACTAAATTTATTAAATTTTTTTTCTTCTGGATAAACTCTAGAGACAGACGAGCCCAAACCTGCTGCAGCCTCTTGTCTACATTCCTCTAATGAACTGACATGTCCCAAACATCCACAAGAATTCAGATGTTTGTGTTTTTCAGGTTAAATGGGAGAGACAATTGGTACAATATGTATGAGAACTACGTGAGTATTGATGAGTATTACAGTTACATGTCATATCACATGGGTTATAAGTTGTCAGTGTGTCATTCAATCAATACTTTATTTGTCGCTGAGCAATTTAAGCACAATGAGCAGTAAAATGATAGTTTGAGTTGAGTAACAGCCCTCTGGTCAAGAGTGTCCCTCCTCTGTGTCCACTGTCAGCATCCAATGGAAAATGGTTTAGCTTGAACCGTTAACGCTGGCTATTTAGTCCTTTCTGCCACTCTGATAACTAGTAGTAGGGTTGGGCTATATACCAAAAAATCTATATTACAATTTCCTTGGAGCCAGATCACAATTTTGATTGTAACTAAAGAGGTGACTAAAGTCATCTCTGAAACTGCACACTTTGCAGTTGATTAAAATCAAATGCCAGTAACCGGTAGTCTCATCAATATGCCCACTTTGCGATTTTTCTCATCATGTTAACCATGTTTACCTGTTCTTCCTGGTTGAGCGTCAGTGCCTCGCTCACCTGTCCTGCGCCCGGGTGGCTCTCTGGCGGGAGGTGGAGGTCGAGCTGTGTGATTGGCCGGTGCAGGTGGAGGGGGTGGGGCCTGACTGCGACTCTGATGGCTGCTGCTTGACGAGTGCTTCTTGTGCAGAGAGTTGTGCCTCTGGGGCAGCTCTGGAGCGTCTGTTTGGGAAGGTCCGTTTGAGTTGGGTCTGTAGGGGGGTGGTGGAGGGGGCGCAGTGGTCCCTCCACTTTGTGACCTGATCAGGGGACAATACAAGAAACAATAATAAAAGAAATGACACAGGGAAAGCAATCTATTAATCTGCAACGTTTTACTCTAGCCAGAAATTATCAACATATATAGTGTTAATTTGATTATTAATTTATAAATACAAATTAAATATATTTACTGAATAAAGTGTTTACTGGAGTATGATGAAAAAATTGTGTCCAATAAGTTGTTTGAGGTTCAACAAAAAGTTATACAAAAATAACCAGAATATAGTCTTTTAAAGTTGAAGGATTTCTTGCAACATAAGCTACCACTACGCTTTTCCAATATAAATAGTACAATGTCTTCAAAATCTATGCGGGAGTCTCCGTGGACTTATCTGTTAATGTAATACTACCCGTACCCATAGCCTATATTATAAGAATAAGAATACCTGTTTGAGGAGGAAGAGGGGGGCCGATCTGACCCTCTGCTTGGCGTGGGTGGGAGGGGCTTCTCTCTGTTGTGTGATTGTGTGTTCTTCTGATTGGCTGGCGGGGGTGGTGGTGGAGCATTTGATTGGCGGTTGAAGGGCGGAGGAGGGGGCGGTGCAGAGGAGCTGTGTTTCATGCCGGAGGAGGGAGGGCGTGTGATGTCAGGGAGTGAGGGCCTTTGGGTACGCTGTGGTTCGGGAGGGGAGGGTTTGTTTGAGCGATTGGGCGAGGGGGAGCGGCCTGCGGGCGGGCGAGGGGCAGACGGGCGGGCACCGGGTGGGCGCAGGGCAGAGCGGCCGACTGAACCACCAACTGGACCATCTGAGGACATAGAGGAGAAAGGTTAACTAACCATCCTGCTTTAAGGTTATTGTGCTGATGATAGGGATATAAAAGTATGACTATCGAAAAATACTGCAGAGCTGGATATTGTATAGTGTTTAACAAAAAGAAGAAACTAAATGTAAAAGTAAAACATATATTGTGCAGTTGATTGTGCAGAGATTTAGGGAAACACAGATCAGGGAAAAAAAAAGTGGCTGACAGGGATTAGGTTTACAATGCTTGTGTTACAATGCTGATGTCATTGTTATATAGCAAGTTCTTGAGGTTAGTCACTAATAGAAATGTTCATGTTCATTTGTGAATATATCTTTTACATTAATTTTGATATTAACTAGGGATGCACCAATCACTGTATTGAGTATTGGTCAGATACAGGGTGCTAGTACTACTGTAACTCTGCTGCGTTTTATTTAATGCTCACAGCTCACCTCTCAACTGTCCAGTGTGCTGAGCACAGCTCATAAAGGGTTCACATTAACTGCCAATTGAACTTTAAGCTCAGTTTTCATAATATGACTGTCTCCAGAACTATAAAAAGAATATTAAATATTTTCATAATTCACAGTAGATATCAGTGCAGTCATTGTGTACTAGAAGTAACTGGAGCCGATTCTTAGCTTGTGCATGCATTGTAACATTATAATTTGGGGCGACCAATAATATCGGGCGATATGGGCACTTGGGAGACATATTGGCTATTGGCCTAAATCTTGCCGATATGGGTCGACGTAGTCCACGTAAGCATGTTATACCTCATTATGAAGTTTAGACTCTCTCTCTATATATTATGTCCATTTAATCCAATTTACAGATAGATAAATGTCCTAATATGTGGCACCACATTAATATTTATATGCGGTATAATTTGTCTGTCTGTAACACTGTACTGTCCCTGAATGCAACCCCTGAGTCACGTCACTCGTGCGCTTGTTTACAACTGAGCACAGCCATAGATCCATGTGTGCAACACTGAGGAACTGGCTTTAAATGCTGATACTAATTATAAATAAGTGAACTTCAGCGCAGTTTAAGCTAGCACCAAAACTACTGCTTGTTTTTATCAAAGTGAGAGTGTGGAGCAGAGAGGACTGTGCAATAGAGAGAGGACACACACAGTTGCTGTCAACATGCTGGATTATATTATTTTTACGCACGGTCGTTTTGAGTCAGGATTAAAAGGACAGTTATTTGTGAAGACCTGTGATTTGAGAGGTGCCTGTATGAGCGGTGAGCGTTGAAATGTGTCGGGTTTGAAGCTACTTTTCGTTCTTTCTCATTGGTTAGCACTTGATTGCTTTAAGTACCACACATAAACAGCCTGTTTTCTCTTCTGTTGGCCTAGTGTAAAGTGAATATAGTGGCTGTATACACATTACTGGACCTGCATTGATATGTAAATGAGCTTTGAAGAGAGGTGTGAATGATCGGCATTTACGCATATAATTAATAATCGCAGTGCGCATGCAATTACCACTAAAGGCTAATAGTGGTAGTTTTTATTTTCTTTACTGGTGAGAATGTCATGCAAAAATGGTATTATGTTAACCTACTGTCTTCAAATATGACTGTAAAGATGCAGAATCACAATAAATGTAGCCTAAACAAACCCAATTTAAAATCCAATTGATTATAAAACTTAGGTCTGGCTCTACTGAAGATTTACATTACTAAATATATTGGCTTTTATATTTGCTATCGGCACCTCCAACTCCCATTTTAGTGGTATAATATCAGCCACAAAAAAGTCTGTATCGGGACCTAATTATAATTTATAAAAAAGTAACAACTCTCCTGAGCAGTTACCACAGAGCGCAGTCTGCAAAGATTAAGCAAATATTAAGAAGGTACTCAAATAAGTATTCCAGTGAAAAAGTAAGTTATGCCAAAAAATCCTATTAAATGAATAAGATTTACCACTGTAATAAACTTCCTGTAAAAATTAATGACTGATATTGGCAAAAATGTAGTACTCATTTTAGAAAAAGTATTAGTACATCCCTATTATAGACCTATATAGGATGACCAAAAATAATCTATAGATGAATACAATGCTATGAAGAGTAGCTTTTTCTACAGACCCAGTGAAATAAATGAGCTCTGTCAATACTTTGAGATGGCCATCCTTGCAGTATTGATACTATGGCATTTTCATACCACCTTTATTATTCCATCCCAAGACGGTGGTATAAAGCGCTTTTCCATATAGCACTCTTCAATATTATTGTTTATGGTAATAATCATAGCAGGTTTTTGCAGGCTGAAATTAAATGTCTAGTTAAACTACCATGGTAGAATGTGACCAGCATGTTTTTGGAAGTAAAAAAGAAAAAACACCACAGAGGAACACTTGAAGGAAACGCCATTCAGAAAAGCCCCATCCAGGGAACAACCACAGGACCTTCTGGCCGAAAGGTAAAGGTGCTGAACACTAAACCGCTGTCCACCAATGCAGTGGGAGATTTTCAGTGTATGTCATAACACTTATCGCCTTTAAAAAAAACAACTAACAGCTATTGAAATCATGGGCAATTATGCAACTGCAGCAGAGGCAAACCTGCTCTGAATTATTTATTGTTTTTTCACTGAGAACAAGACTATGCGAGAGATACAGCCATACTAGTACAGCTCAGCAAAAGAACAGAAATTATGCTCGATATATAGCCAATAACAAACAAATGTACTGTAGATTAGGGCTGTCAAGATTAATGAGTAATAGTAACTAGTTCTGTGGTGCAGATCACAGGCCATGACATCAGTGCCAATGAAGACAGAGGAGTGTTGTCGCACTTATACACCAACATTCATGTAATCCTGACCCAAGGGTGAGCACCGAGGAACTGCAGATGCCCAGACGCAACACGTGTACTCAGTCGACTCTTGAACTCATACCTCAGTCGTATAAACACAAACATAACTGACAATTATTCAAAATGTGGCCAAGTATTTCATACAACGCAGCACCTCCTCACCTCCTCAACACCATTTGTAAATTTTCTCTATCAATAAGCCTTCAATCACCATATTTGAACTTTTATGTATTTCAAAAAAATGTCATTGCACAATAGAAATAATCATTAGCAGCTATTATTTAGTTTAATCAGATTAACTCTGAAAACTCACAAAAATAATAACAGCAGCCCTATTGTGGATTCTGATCCCTATTCTAAACATAAACAAGGCATACACTAAAGAAGCAATTGGGAGTAATACTCTCCTAAAAAGTAGTTAGTAGTAATAATTGTGAATAATTGTAACACTAAAATTAGATGTTGTAACTAAAAATATGAACAATAAAGACCTGGCCTTATTAGTGATTTGACCGTTTCATACTTTATGTACCTGCTACTGAGCGCAGTTTGGGCATCCCTCCCGAGAACAGACCTCCCATTCCCATCGGGGCCCCTCCTCCGCCTCCTCCACCTCCTCCACCGCTGCTGCCTCCTCCTCCAGACTCTGGGACAAACAGACAAATTTTAATAATCAAACTCTTACAACAAAACAAACTTTCACAAATACCAAATACATTTAACTAGAACAGTCAAACTCTCAATTCGTAGAGGTCTGGGATGTGTTCTTAACTGCAGCACTGCCTTTACTTTACTTTACATTTACTCTATTTGCAATTGAGGATTTGTTAACAATGTTTAATTCAAATCCACAACAGCAATGTTTTTTGTAACAAGAATAAGCTTTTTCTTTCATTAACTCATCAAGGATTTCAAACACAAACACCATTTAACCACACAGAGGCCTCTTAATAAGAGAATATTGACAAAAAAATAAATATATAAATCATAAATATAATCTATAATATAGTCAAATAGTAATAGTAGTAGTAGTATGTATAGTTCTGAATGCACTCACTCTCGATGACAGGGGCGCTGCGGTCATTGACTTGAGTGACTTTCTTGAGTTTGGCTCCTTTATGGATGTCACTGAGAAGGGCCCCGCGACCTTTGGCCTCTGACGAACTCAGCTTAGGCGGAGTGATGTTCGCCTGAGAAAACAAAAACAAAATCAGTCTTAGAAAATGAAGTGTGGTAGACATTTTGGCATCTTAAAAAATAGCTCTCAGATTAAAAGCTGTGTACCTGATTTTTTTTTTTTTAAATGTGAATAACAGAACTATTTTAAATGTTTTGCAGTGGTTCAAAGTTATTGCTCACTTACCGTTTGTATTTTGAGCATCCTTATTATTCATTGTGGTTAGTTTATATGAGCTTTTAAAATTATTTCAGAGGCCATTATGGTAAGGTAATAGGCATAAAGTAGTTTCAGTACTACAGTTTATCGTAGCACATCTCTGTAGCAATATATTGTGCTTTAAAATTTGTTTGACATGCCTATATATTCCACAATAATTATACATTTTCAGTTGAAAATACTTCATCGACAACTTGTTCTGTCAATAGAAAAGATATATATTCTATTAAATTAAAAAGGTAACATATAACAATAACATTTGCCATTACATTCTACATTTCTCCAATAGTGTAACAAAGATCTTTTTATATAAATTACTGTGTCATTTTGCCAGATGTATATCAATGCCCAATGCATCGGATAATGTGTGTTGAGTGATTTGCAGCAGACTGACCTGGCTGAAGGTGGGAGGAGGCGGGGGCCCAGGGGGAGGGGGAGGCGGAGGAATGGGCATTGTGTCCCACTGATGGCTCCTCGGACTGGGACAACAGTCCGGACTTCACTGCCTCCTCTGGAGCCTCTCACACGCTCTCCTGGAGGACAGAGACAGGGAGATGGTTAAATCTGAATAATGGTTAGAGCCAGGTGTAAAATTGGTGGTTAATTTTGTTGACATACGAGATACCAATAAATCAATACATTTACATATAATATGCAAGTCTGCAGTAGACATTACTTTTAGAGTTAAAACAATACATCATGCCATAGCTTGTGTCATAAAATCCTTCAGTAAAAACCTTCTAACTATTGTTAAATAGAAGAAAAATAGTGTGTATAACATGTAAGCTGCAACTTGCTGTCATGTCGGGGTCAAATCACTATCATAAAAACAGAATGTGAATTTATAAAAATAAAAAAATAAAAAATTCCAATACTATGAGACTTTTCTGGCCAACTACAACCAGTAAATATTCTTCTTATTACATCAAATTATAGACCTAACCAGGATTTTGGCTGATATTTGGAAACCGATATGTGATACAGCATTTTTCCCAGGATGGATGCTGATATCTAATACCAGTATTGGATCAGTGCATCCCTGCTCACAGGTTGAAAATGCCACATGCTCACACATCATGTAAAAATCAGGTCTTATTCTCATTGAACCAATCTCATGTCTCTTAGTGGTAGTAGAAGTATTGAAGTGATTGGACATAAGCACATGAATGTAGGTCAGAACCACCTAAAACCTGTTTCATGAGCTGTGTGTTTGCTGTTTACTGTGTTATGCCTGACACACTTCACTGCAGCAGTGCTGTCTGAGTCTCTGCGTCTCTGAGCCTGAGCAGTGAGGAGCTCCTCAAACCTGTTCAACTCAAGTTTAGAAGAAACTCCAGGAATCCAACCGAACAAGACAAACGAACACAGTGGAAAAGGAGAGAGCGGGGGAAATAACCAGGTCATCAGCAGTAAAGGGTTAGACATTTTAAAGGAGGGCTCTGACTAACCATTCTTTTAGCAGTCAGTCAGTAATTCTCCAATTAGTTGAATAGTCTAACGATTACTTGTATTGTACATTGTGATAGAGGGAGCTTAATAATAAATTGAATGCATTTACGTTTTAGCTTTTCAAAATAGTTCAAATAAACAAAATTAAAGTTAAACGGAGAGTCCGGATTTTTGGACATAGGACCTCATTTCCTAGCTAACCAGAGTGTTGGAGACATGTGGAGACACTTTTTAAAATATTTTAAAATATAGTCCTTGTATGTGCAGAGGTCGCTGGTGCTAGGCTAGTGCATGTCAATGGCCATAGTTAGCCTGTCACTAAAAACAGTCTTACCCACTCCACAAAACACCTGAAGCAAATCTCTTATTACACCAGACTGTCAATGTGAATGTCTGTGTTGATAGAATAATGTTTGAAATAAAACTAACCTTGCATTGCATGAATCGTTGCATGTTGAGGGACTATTTTCTCAGCAACAGCAGAATTTTACTTTGCCGGTAAGACTGGTGCCAGGTGATATCAGTCTGCCGCTGCCAAGCTTTCTATCAGGAAGTACAACTCGCTGCTGCTGCTCAGACATAAATCCTTCAAATGCAAGGTTGTTTTTACTTCTAAAATTATTCTATCAACAGAGACATTCCCCTCGACAGTCTGGCATTATAATTGATTTGCCTCGGGTGTTTTGTGGAGTGGGTAAGTTTTTAAGTGGCAGGCTAACTATGCCTACTGACTAGAGATGCGCGGATTGCGGAATTTTGCGGAAATTTGCGGATTGAAAAGACGAGTCTCATTGTCTATGCTTGTAGTATGAAGTGTACGTCATATCCTTAATTAGCCCATTTGACCTCGTTTTTATGTTCTGAAGGTTAAGGTTGTGTCGGGTTATTGATAGCCTAAGGTTTACGAGGCACATATTATATGCAGTTTATTTTATTATTTCTAATTTATTTCAGCTGTTTGCCAACACATAAGTGGCTATAGGGCCATATTTATTTAGTTATGCATATTTTTTCTTGCCTATTTCAATTGGAATATAAAGAGGGCATTGCCTGATTTCAATAAAGGTTCATCTGGATGAGATGATCTGTCTATTTTGTTTTGTTTCGATATCAGTTATATTTTAAAGCACACAGACATTATAGCATAGACTGCCACTCGGGGTATTTAAAACTTAAAGAAAGACAGATGGAGTGAGGCTATGACTTTGAAATAACATCGGGCAATGGCAGAATGTTCAGAATGTAACAACATTCAACACGAAGGCAAGAAGGTTCAAAAATAGCCTAGTTGGAAAACGTTGTCAATTAATTAGCTGCGCAAGAAAACCAGGTAAGTTTGGAGTTGTTACGGACAATTAAGAATGCGAACATACACTCTGAGCGAATTTTGGAATGAATGAGCTACAGAGTTTGCATTTTTATCGAGACTCCTTAGTTTGTTTGCTGTATGATTGTTCTAAAATCTAAAATCAATCGGCGGATAGCGGGCAGGTGCGGTTTTGAAAACCTTCGGTGCAAAATGGACAGCGGGCGGATGATGAGTTTTGTGTCGCGGTTGTGGATGAAAAAATAGCCCATCCGCGCATCTCTACTATTGACATGCACTAGCCTAGCACCAGCAACCTCTACAAATAAAAGGACTGGATGGAATATTTTAAAAAAGTGTTTCCACACTAGAGCCCGACCGATATATCGGTTGGCCAATATTATCGGCCGATATGAGCACCTGGAGGCATATCGGCTATCGGCATATCGATATGCTTGCTGATAGGGGCCGATATTTCACGTGGGCATGTTATACCTCCTTATAAAGTTTAGACTCTCTACATTATGTTCATTTAATCTAATTTACAGACAGTTAAATGTCCAAATATGTGGCTCTGCATCAGTATTTATCTGCGGAGTCATTTGTCAGTGTGTGTGTTCGTACTGTCCCTGAACACACCCCCAGAGTCACGTGCGTTTGTTTACAGCCGCAGACATAGATCCATGTGCGCAACACTGACATTATATTCTTTTTATGGACAATCGGTTTGAGTCTGGATTAAAAGGACATTTATTAGTGCAGACTTGTGATGTGAGGAGGAGCCTGTGTGAGCGGTGAGTGTTGATAATATGTCGACTTTGAATCTAGTTTTGGTTCGTTCTGATAGGGTAGCGATTAGCTGCTGTAGCTCCTGCACATAAACAAGCTGTTTTCTATTGGTCTATTGTAAAGTGATTATATTGGCCGTATATTTGTTACTGGACCTGCATTGATATGTAAATGAGCTGTGAATAGACGTGTGAATTATGACATTTGTGCATATAATTAATTACCGCGGCGCGCAGCATTTACGGCTAAAGGCTAATAGCGATTGTTTATTTACTCGCTAGTAGTGATGGGTCGGTCACGAACGAAGCGGTTCTTAGAGCCGGCTCTTTGAAGCGAACGACGGGAGCCTGATCATTACTGGGATTGGGAGTTGTGTTTTCTTTCTCTCACTGTTTTTCTCTTCACGCCGCATGCAGACTTGTGGTAGTTTGACAGCGGCAGACTACGAAACTTTCAAAAATATGCGTGTGCATAGGGTAAAAAAACGTGCATAAATATATTCAGCATAAAATAAATAAACCAGGACTAATCTTGGGGTCGAGAGAGGGAGAGAGATAGAGAGATAGAGACAGAGTCCCGACACTCAGTCCTGGTTAAGTTCTGGTTTAGTCCTGTTTTACACATGGTTTAGATCTGTTTTAGTCCTGGTTTAGTCCTTTTTCAGTCCTGGTTCAGTTCTGATTCAGTCCTGCTTTAGATCTGCTTTAGTCCTATGACATGTCATGTAAAGAGGCAGAATAACAATAAATGTTGCCTAAATAAACCCAGTTTAAAATCCACCAGAGCCAAACCTAAGTTTTTTTTAAATAATTCAAGATTTACAGTGAATTTTTACATCACTAAATATATCGGCAATTATATCGGCTATCGGCAGCGCCAACTCCCATTATATCTGTATCATATCGGCTACAACAAAATCCATATCGGTCGGGCTCTATTCCACACATCTCCAACACTCTGGCAAACTAAGAAATAAGGTCCTATGTCCAAAATTCCGGACTGTTCCTTTAAAATTCCGTGAAAGTTAAGCTTATGCAGTTCCTCTTAGATCCCATTTCATGTTTAAATTGGGGTCTTGCAGTAGTTCAAAGTAGAGCCCGACCGATATGGATTTTGCTGTGGCCGATATGAAACCGATATAATGGGAGTTGGCGCTGCCGATAGCCGATATAATCGCCGATATATTTAGTGATTTAAAAATTCACTGTAAATGTTCAATTGTTTAAAAAACTTAGGTTTGGCTCTGGTGGATTTTAAATTGGGTTTATTTAGGCAACATTTATTGTTATTCTGCCTCTTTACATCATATTTACAGACAGTAGGTTGGCTTAATGGCATTTTTGCATCACATTCTAGACACTAGTGATGGGTATTGCAGTTCTTTTCAGAGAACCGGCTCTTTTGGCTCGGCTCACTAAAAGCTGCTGGTTCTTTTGGCTCCCAAGTGGCTCTTCAGATTGTTTTGTTGCAAGCAGGACTGAATCAGGACTGAACCAGGTCTAAACCAGGACTGAAAAAGGACTAAACCGGGACTTATTTATTTTATGCTAAACTACAGTCAAATATGCTCGTTTTTTTAATCCTACGTACACGCAAATTTCTCAAAGTTTTGTTTTTAGCCGCTGCCGCTGTCAAACCACGAATCACGCGGCGTGAAGAGAAAAAAAGTGAGAGAAAGAGAAAACACGGCTCCCAATAAGGATCAGGCTCCCGTCGTTCCCTTCAAAGAGCCGGTTCTAAGAGTCATTTCATTCGCGACGGACCCATAACTAGTAAAGAAAGTAGCGCTATTAGCCTTTAGCCGTAAATATACGTGCGCGCCGCGGTAATTAATTATATGCGCAAATGTCATAATTCACACGTCTGTTCACAGCTCATTTACATATCAGTGCAGGTCCAGTAACAAATATACGGCCAATATAGTCACTTTAGAACAGACCAATAGAAAACAGTCTGTTTATGTGCGGGAGCTACAGCAGCTAACCCATA